GCGGAGCTGGCACGCATCCAGTGAACCTGCAGTGATCCTCCTGAGTGACAGACTCTGTATAATCATTACTGTATCTGATGATTCGTTTTATGTAATTGTGTTGATTCTTCACAAAATGTGTTATTTTGCCCGTACAAGAGGCTCAAGGCTTGTCCCTAAAAAAAAACTCTGCACTGTACTCTGCACTGTACTCTGCACTGAACTCTTTTTTTATTTTTTTTATACAGAAAGACACTTTTATTGGACATGTACATGCAGCAGTACATGTATACAGTTGGCACCTATGACATCAGGGGATGGCCCACGCCTGGTAAAAAACAAAAACAAAAAAAACAATGAGGAGCTACAAAGCATTAAAGACAGTCAGTGCAGTGCGGTGCGCACATGTTCACCGGTTTGAGTGCTACGCACATGCCACAGTTCAGAAATGCAAATTGCACTCAGCAGCCACCAGTTCGGTCGATGATGGTTGAGCTACTGCAACTCTGCTCCGGGACCGGTGTCCTCGGAGGACCATAATGGCCGAGCGAAGAAGGGCAAACCCCAACCTGCATCTGATCCATGCCATTGTGATGGAGTAAGGCTCATTCTTCTTGTCGCTGATGATCAGTCCGAGCCGCTTGTAAAGGGCAGTTGCCGCCTTGCCTTGGCCTCCGGTGGCACTGAATAGGAGGGGAACGAAGGTGGCATGCTCCACCTCACGAACACGCTCCTCATAATGCCGACGCTTCTCACGCTCATGCTTTGCGTATGCGGCGGGAATGGAGTGGACCGAGTTCGAAAGAGCATGAGGGTTGAACACCCGAATATCAAAGAAAGCTCGCTCAAACCGGCCACCCCACACCCCGCTGGCAGCAACATCCAGCCTGGCACCATCCTCACGGATAGCCGTCCGGTGATGAAAATTCTCACCAGATAACGGCTGAAGGCGTGGCTCAATGCTGATATCATGAGCTGCTGATGTGAGCATGGTAGCGGTCAAGTCCCGCAGCTCGTTGTGCCGCAGAGACGGATAGCCACCTACTGGGCAAGACAAGGCGTGCGGGACAGTGAAGGCAGCTCCACAGGCACAGCTCTGGGGGAGGTGGGGCGGAGTCCACCCGCAGCGGAGGCAGACAGCATCTCGAAACACGCCCTTGTGTAGCGAGAACCCATGCTGCTTGAGTGGTCGACAGGTGAGCCAGTTCGACGCACCCTTTTTGGCCGCAAGATCCATGGACCTCTGCAGGTCTCCATCCACGCCATCGTACATCTCCTTGGCATGACGCTGCTCCGTCTTTCTGGCGTCTGCCCTGGCTTTAGCTTTGGCTGCCCTGGTGTTGTCCGCCTCCTCCTGTGGCGGTGTATCCTGGTTCAAAATGCGCTGAACTAAGCTCTCGGTGATGGTAAGTGAGGAAGGAAACTGGTTCACAAGAGATACTGGGGAGACAATCCCCATGCCTCCGTAGCGGCTTGGGAGTGCGAGAACTTGGCGTTCCGTCTCTCCGGGCTGGGGACGACCAAGAAGAGCGGGAATTAACGACTCGGAGATGGTGGACTCCAGCTGTTCGAGGTGCGGGGCAACTCCTGGCATTGTGCGGGCGATGAATGACCACTTGTGCCGGAGAACGTTGGTGTACACTGCGTAAGCTGCTTGTGGCTGGGTGGAGGCCACGGTGGACAACTCCCGGATCTCCTCTTGCCATGCCTTCACCTTCGCGAAAGCAAAGGAGGCCCTATACTCGGGTGATCCAAGGGCGGCTCCAAGGTGTCGGTTGCCGTCCGGCTTGATGACGATATCGGTGTCGGCGAAGATTGCCCGTGCAGCTTCAGCGCATTCGGGCTTAACAAGAAGAACCGACTTGGCTGCGTTAAGGTGATAGCCAAACTCTGGACCTCTCCGCTCGATGATGTCCCACCAGGCTCGGAGGCGGCGGATCTTCCCTGCTGCGTTGGCATCATCAGCATACCAGCTTTGCAGGGCGTCACTCTCGGCAGCGACTCGGATCAGCGGGATGGTGCCCAACGCGTACATTGCCATGGCCAATGGGTCGCCCTGGGTGGTACCTTCAACTGACATGATGGCCTCACCATCCATGTAGAGAGCCGCCGGTGAGCGATACATGTTGATGAGAGCCGGCGCGATTTCCGGACAGAGATGACGGATATTCTGAAGGCGTACCTGTCTGTTGAGCGAGTTAAACGCATTGGATGCATCTGCAAACAGGACTCCCTCCACATCGTTCTGGTCTTAGGCGGTTCGCATGGCGTAGATGGCAGCCTCTATGCCTGACTCTTGCCCTCCACACAACTGGATGCATCCCGCGGCATTCTCAATGGCCTCACCAACTGTGGAGAGGATGGCCTTTCCGATGATGCGGCGTACAATCTCTCCAACACCAATAGGTCAGACTCCAGGCTGCTTATCCAATGCGATCAGTTGACAGGCAACATAGGCCTCCAGTGCTACGGGGTCTACGTATGACGAAGCGATCCGTCGGGCTGTGGAGGCAAGTGCATCGCAAAGAGCATCAGATGATTTGCTGAAAGAGGTGCAAATCCGTCTCCATCCGCCTGCATCCATGCCAGATGGCCCTGCTGAGCCCTGAGTGTGGAGGGCTGCCTTCCTTATTGCGTCTCTGTTGATGGAAGCGAAGCGCACAGGGTGCGGGGCGTCTGGAGGTCTACCAAATGTCACTGCCGTTGCACTGATGGGTCCAGCGTTAGGGTGCTTTGCCTTCAGGATGTCCCGGACAGTCTCCGTTCCTACCATTGAGTCAAGGCTGTGCACACCATGGCAGTGGTCAGCTGAGAGGGTGCGCGCGGTCACACTCAGGTTTCCAGAGGTGACAAGGTTAGCAAAGTGCCTGGCGCTATCATGGTGCTTGGTTGCTGGAGTGCTTGGAAGCTGCTCTGATCTGGTCTTGGATCGTGCGAGCTTCCAGGACTAGTTGGTTCAGGTCTCCGTCTTCCCACAGGCCAAGCGATTCTGCAGGAGCCTCCGGTGTTCGCTCTGGTCCAAACACCTGTGCGGCCGCTGGAGCAGGAGTTGGGTTGCCATCATGGCTGCTTTGATGGCGATTCCTTCCGCGGCACCGCGTTCACCAGAAACTCTTGTACAGCGATGTTAATAGGTTAACAAATTTCGATCCAATTGTGCCGAGTGGCACATCGAACAGGTTTGCTGCGCAGTGGACGGTCTCCTCATAGGCGGCCGCTACCACTTGACGGGTGTCTGTGGCGTCCAGTCTCTCAAGGTTCAACGACCCTTCCGCTGCTGTAAACGGTGGTAGACTACATGTATTTGTGGGTGTGTCGACTTCGACATCTAGCATATCCCACGCCAGCTGTTGAGAGCTGGACACTGGGCTGTACGGTGTGCGCGGGTCAGCGGGGCCACTATTATGATGATCCTTTGCTCCTGTGGCCGTAGTAATACCAGCTGACTCGGGGGGCTCTGCACTGTACTCTGCACTGTACTCTGCACTGTACTCTGCACTATAGTCTACATCGTGTCCATGTATAGAAGTCTCCAACGTTGTAGAGTGTACAAAGCTCGCAATCAGTGTTAAACGCACACATAGTCTTCCAAACAAGAACATACAGATGGACAAGGAAGCCGGATAATCTGAAACTGTGATGCTAAACTGCACTCCTTGTGATCATGGGGAGTCAGTTCCAACAGATGATCTGCTACTCTGTGAGCTAACCTATCGGATTTTCCCGAGTATAAGCCGCACCCAGATCTTTCGTCACACAGTACTACCCTGTTCATCACCAGTAATTTAGCCATCGTGGTATAAGCTGCACTGAATTGTTAGGGGCGAATCACTGGTATTTAAAGTGCAGCTTATGTTCCGGAAAATAGGGCGTTTGAAGTAGTAAACGAGCACCGGCGGGATAAGTTCCGACGCTGTTATGATACATGTATGTACAGGTACGGTCTGTGATAGCCATCAGCCCAGGGGACCAAGCATCTGCCCAGGGGACCAAGCATCTGCCCAGGGGACCAAGCATCTGCCCAGGGGACCAAGCATCTGCCCAGGGGACCAAGCATCTGCCCACGGGACCAAGCATCTGCCCAGGGGACCAAGCATCTGCCCAGGGGACCAAGCATCTGCCCAGGGGACCAAGCATCTGCCCAGGGGACCAAGCATCTGCCCAGGGGACCAAGCACGGCTGATCTTGTGGAGCAGACGGTCTCCTCGTTCAGTTTCCTGAGAGTCCTCTCTGTTTCAGCGTATGTGCACGAATCACTACATCAGGTAGACATCCGGGCCAGGGACATCGGAAGGTACTTTCGGTTGGTATTACACCCTTGGCGGTGCTCCTCGGTAAGGTACCAACAATTTGGAAGAATTTTGAAATTTGCAGACTAGATCATCACAAGTTGGATGTTCCTACGTGGAACACACACTTCCTGCCGAACTTGACACTTGACTGACTCACGACTGCCATCCGGAGCACACGAGGAGCACGTCGCTAAGTTCGTAAATCAGCACATTTCATCAATTTACGAAAGCATAGTAAAACCTGGTGTAAGCCGACCGCTTTTGCTTGCACCGTGGGGTGGTTGCTTAAGCCAGGTTTTACTGTATCTGGAGCTAGAAGTGGTATGGACAAGACCAGATATGGCTGTCCAACACAGACGTTGGCGTGTATGCGCGTCTGAGTGACACTATGGGCCGAGTGCTTGGCTACACTAACGCCTTGTCTGATGAACTGACTCACAGGTACTTACGCTATTCTACACCGTACATGCACATGCACTGCAGATGTTTTGACCCAGGTCCAGAAACATGGGAACTGCAACCGAATACTCCGCCATTGAAATTCATTTCAGAGAAATGTTCCAAATAATTCTAACTACTTTTGATTCGTTTGCACCGTCGCTTTTAACCATCCTTGGCTATATGGTGTCCGGGCTCACGTGTGTCCCCAGATCCATCCCCACCATGGATTAACGAGAAATGCAGTGAAGTGCAGTGTTTGTTTTACACAGGTTCAGCATGTTCACTCACCTGTCTGGTTCAGCACTGCGTCAGATAATGTCACGTGATTGCCAGATCACATGAGATGGTATGAGGCAGGAGGAGATGAGCACATGAGAGAGAGAGAGAGAGAGAGAGAGAGAGAGAGAGAGAGAGAGAGAGAGAGAGAGAGAGAGAGAGAGAGAGAGAGAGAGAGAGAGAGAGAGAGCACTCTTACAGCGGCAGGTGAAGGCAACAAATAGTACTAGACCAGACCATGCACGTATCAACTGATCACTACACATCAGGGCCGGAGGCAGCTCCCACGGAGCGGTGCGGCCAAGTGCCCTGTTGAAGGGGGCCTGGGGCAATTTTTTAGGAATTTAGAAGGCAAATCTTGCACTCTGGGCACATTTCGGTGCATCTCCTAGCCCCTGTATACAACTTGCAAGTCTGATATGCCAATGCAGAATACACTAGTTTCAGATTGTGCATTTATGATACGTGTAGTTCACTGTGAAGAATGTTCCTGAGGACAGGGTAATCCGTTTTTTACGATTTCCTGTACAAAATCATACATCGAAACTTTTTCTCCCCGGTTTTGGACGTTCCACATGGACGGACCTTTTGGGACATTGGTACGGCCATGGCCATGCCGGCCGCACCAGTGGCGCCGGCCCTGTACATACATGTACATGTATGTACGTAACCTGACCATCTAGTATAAATTGAGTGGTTTAACCTCTACCACATGACCATACAGGACAGGCTCAGCCATGTTGGTTCCAACTCCACGGCCAGCCCATCCATCTATGGGTCACGTGATGTCGGCCATGTCAGTTCCACTGTCTACATGCCATCATCACTTTCTACAAATTTAGTCACATGACAAAGATGTGAAGCCAGTCCACAAAGGCACACTAACCCTAACCCTGAAGTCAGTCTCCATGTACATGTATATACATGTGCTGGTGTAGTGGAACAGTGTGATGGCATGAGTACAGGAGAGAATATTTGATGCAAGCCGCAGCCTACATCACCAGTTTAATGCTTTTATGTTTGCGCTGTTACATTCCGCTGTATTGTGTGTTGGGGGGGGGGGGGGGGGGGGGAGCTCGGTCGGCCTGTCATCGTCCAGTTCACATGCTACGTGAGTTGGCGATTAGGAGGGGAGGGTTTCCCTGTCCGTGAGTTGTGCAGCACCGCGCTCGTTGTATTTTGGTTTTTATATTGAATCGCTTTGGATTTCACCAATTGAGTATTGAGGAATTAGAGTCATGGAATTGTTTTTTATCGAAATTAAAATACTTGTTGGGTTGGAAGGAGGGAGTCAGGTGGATCTACTAGGGGTGGCAAAATAGTCAAAGACCAACAATCTCACCAGCTTCTATCTACGTCTATACCTGTTGGCATATTTTTAAAGCAAAGTGAAAATGCTCAACTCCCGCACTTACCATAGTTTTGCAACATACACCGGTCGTACCCTGTTGGATTGTGAGCGGACGGCAGCTCTTCGCACTTTGGCAGCACCACGTTCAGGTCATTGAGTGACTCAGAGCTGGAGATGCTCTGTCCCCACTCGAGCGGACACACTGAAACCAGTGTCTCGCAGTCCTCGCGGCACAGACGCAACGGCAGTGAGTCATTATCGCACTTCGGCATGTATATGGCGCAGAGAGCGTGCTGTACAGTGGAAAGTGAACATGTGCAGTGGTGCATTAGCAGACATACACACATGCACATGCACACACACATTCTTCTCAACACTAGAAAAGCAAGGCCTTTGTCTTTGTCTTTGTCTATATTTAACGTTGTTGAAGTAAATAGCTGACATTTCGTGTGTTTTTAGGATGGTCCTTATTTATTCCTTTTTGCCTATTCTGCAGTTGCATGCGAGTGTGCTCCTCATCGGCTTCGCTCGTTCCTCTTTTCTTCTGTTCATTTGGCTTATACGAAGGCTAGCCAAGCTTGCTTGGTGATGTCAACGCGAACAAGCATAATTATAATAATAATAGTAATAATCGACGTGGAGACAACAATTTTATAATAGCTATAAAGAGAACAAATTCTGCTGTCATCGCCACACTACAACAAAGTCATGAAGGTTTACCGAAATCGATTTTCTTGTCACAATCATCAGTGGAAAGCCGTGACTGAAGAGTAACCATGCTGAATCAATGATTAATATACATTCAATAATGTGTTACGAGAACAAAACAAAGTGCTAAAATAGAATGAGGGAAGGTGAGACAATAGAAGTGAAGTGAGAGCTAAGTGCAACAGGGGTGAGGAACTAATTACAACGCTAGAACTGTGTATTGAGACAAACAATCATGCTGTGCACCTACGAAAACAATCTTAACGCAACTACATGTTTCTTCTGCTTACAAAGATCAGGCTTATGCAAACGAATACAAACAGCCTCAAGTACTTTCAACTGACTAGCGTACCGTGCACGACAAAGAACAGAAAAACTAAAATCATCATACACCTGCAGACACTTAGGGTGAGACAACAGATGAAGAAAAACGGCAGACTTCGTACGATCACAATCACCATCCGATTCCTCGTCTCCACCAACCGCAACCTCGTCCTCCGTCTCATCTTCCAACTCGTCCTCAGTGTCGTCCCCCGTGTCATTCTCCTCATCCACACCGATCGGTCCCAGGCTCGCTTCATGTTGCTTTACCTCTGTTCGTTGACTCCTCCTTTGATCTTGATGGTAGTTTGTTACCATTGTTGTTGTTATTGTTGTTGTTCCTGTTGTTGTTAAATCTTCTGTTCCCAGTGTCTTCGCCGGTGCTTGACATCCAGTACTGTAATAATTCATTGAATAATTAGCCGTTGATCGTCTAGGTCTTTGAATGTTGATCGTGTTGTTGGAACAGAAGATTTAACAACAACAGGAACAACAACAATAACAACAACAATGGTAACAAATTACCATCAAGATCAAAGGAGGAGTCAACGAACAGAGGTTAAGCAACATGAAGCGAGCCTGGGATCGATCGGTGTGGATGAGGAGAATGACACGGGGGACGACACTGAGGACGAGTTGGAAGATGAGACGGAGGACGAGGTTGCGGTTGGTGGAGACGAGGAATCGGATGGTGATTGTGATCGTACGAAGTCTGCCGTTTTTCTTCATCTGTTGTCTCACCCTAAGTGTCTGCAGGTGTATGATGATTTTAGTTTTTCTGTTCTTTGCCGTGCACGGTACGCTAGTCAGTTGAAAGTACTTGAGGCTGTTTGTATTCGTTTGCATAAGCCTGATCTTTGTAAGCAGAAGAAACATGTAGTTGCGTTAAGATTGTTTTCGTAGGTGCACAGCATGATTGTTTGTATCAATACACAGTTCTAGCGTTGTAATTAGTTCCTCACCCCTGTTGCACTTAGCTCTCACTTCACTTCTATTGTCTCACCTTCCCTCATTCTATTTTAGCACTTTGTTTTGTTCTCGTAACACATTATTGAATGTATATTAATCATTGATTCAGCATGGTTACTCTTCAGTCACGGCTTTCCACTGATGATTGTGACAAGAAAATCGATTTTGGTAAACCTTCATGACTTTGTTGTAGTGTGGCGATGACAGCAGAATTTGTTCTCTTTATAGCTATTATAATAGTAATAATTTTTTCTTCAGACTTTTCCCGTTTGTCTCTTTCCCTCAAACTAGTGAAGATTTTATGACTTGGGGCTCCCCGCGTGCTAGAGTGTACGTGAAGTGTGTGGGTACAGTGAGGGCTGCGTCCCACCCGCCTGTGTGGATTCACAGGAAGTGTGAGTTACGAAGTCTGAAGAAAATGTTGAACAGTCTCTGCTGGGATGACGACTACACCATAGCTCAGTGGTTAGAGCATCGCTAGCTACAAGCGAGGGTCCCTGGTTCGTGTCCTGGTGGTGACAGTCAATTTTTTCTTCAGACTTTTCCCGTTTGTCTCTTTCCCTCAAACTAGTGAAAATTGCTGCTTCTCCTCCGTGATGTGCTAGTTGCGCCTTTTCTCTCTCTCTGTCATACTAGGTGACATAATTCGCATCTTTTTTGGCGCTACACTCTGCGTATATACTGCTCTTGTGTGGCTTCCACGGTATTCATTGTTATTACCTGACGATGGCCAAGTGCCGAAACGTTGTAAAATAACGGAACTGGTTCGGATGTGATATGCAGCGCTATGGGAATGGGTGTGTCCACCCGAATTCTTTTCACTAGTGAAAATAGTAATAATAATAATAATTTGTCTCCATTCCTCGCATGAATGTGTGATTCAATTCTACTGTGGAAACTAATGCCACCTTGCACACTAAAAGTAAAATATACTCTCGACTCATGCTGCTAAACATCAACAGGAATGAAGAAAATAATTGCCCAGCTCAAGCAAATTCACACCAACAAACCCTTCAGAGGGGTGGAAGTAACCCTAGCAACACATGCAAGTAACCCTAGCAACACATGCAAGTAACCCTAGCAACACATGCAAGTAACCCTAGCAACACATGCAAGTAACCCTAGCAACACATGCAAGTAACCCTAGCAACACATGCAAGTAACCCTAGCAACACATGCAAGTAACCCTAGCAACACATGCAAGTAGCCCCTACTGTAGCCAGAAGGACCCACGGATGCGTGTGATCCCCGGTAGCTTAATCGGTAGCCTGCACTGGCCCGCCCGGGGAGGAAAGGGGTGCTGGGTTCGAATCCAGTTAGTGGGTCCTTCTTTTGCAACACTGGCAACACATGCAAGTAACCCCTAGCAACACATGTGCATACACATAGCCCATGGCAACAGCACAAACACTACACAACAGCACAAACACTACACAATAGCACAGACACTACACAACAGCACAAACACTACACAATAGCACAGACACTACACAACAGCACAAACACTACATACATTAGCTAGATCCAAGCAAGCTTGCCGGAAGAACGCGTTCTCGGAGTACGTGTACAGCAATTGTACCAAGTTGCTGACTCCACGCAGGCTCGTACCATCGCCTATGAAAACAGATGCTCCTTTTCCGTATGCAATGTTGCACTGCCTTGATGCCGGTGTTAGCTGTTCGCAGTGTCCACTTTCATACACACACACACATGTATGCATGTATTCATAGTGGAACACACAATAAATATGCATGCCCAATCACACCAGCACACATGCATACATAGACACACAGACCGTTACAGATGCACAGCGGTACAGTTATTTGCTCACTGCCAACAAATTAATGGTCACGTGGGTGTCCCTGGGACAGGAGGTTGGGGGCGGCGGGGGGGGGGGATTAAATATCTTGCAAAGAAAACTCGATTTGCGATCAAACTGCCCAAAGGCCGACCCTTTTTCTGAGCTCCCAGGCTCTGTGTAGACTTGGAAATGATCCGCTTATGGGCTCACCACACTACGGAATGTGGGTAATGACAAGGTGCAGAAAGAGGATCATGGCAGAATCAAAGTATCCATCCCAGGACCCAACTGAAAATGTTCAACCCGAAGCCAAGCTGCAGTATCAGCATCCGGTCATGATGTGCGTGGAAAACATTACATGTACCGGTATATCCAGAGTATACGAACAGATTCCCTGGTTTAGACTCCCACTTTAATACACTCTCTCCATTAGCACTACAATAGTTCACGGGACTGATAACAGATAGAAAACACAAGAGATCACGTATTCTCTGCCATGTATGGAACTGCTCAGTTCAAGAGGATAGTGGTAGCGATCCTCAAACACAACGGTGTTCAATGTATGGCCTGCTCCATTGACATTGTGGTTCAACAAGATGGCAAAGAACAGTCAATTTGTTCTAGAAGCTACCTCAGACTTTCACACTTGTACAAAACCTGATACAATCATAGGCAATGATGACCTGTTCTTAGCATATCCTTCTCAGGTTTTTGTGTGTACACAATTAGCAATGTCGACACCTTACCTTGGTTTCAACTGGCTTTTTGTCTCACCTAGCCAGCACAAGAGAAGACAGAGAGTAACAAAGTCATACAAAAACTGAGTCGGAGTGAGATAGCCAAGATCAATTACTTGGCAAGAAAAACAGCTGTGTCAGAACACAATACTTATCACCCTGCGCATAGACTCCTATGCAGGGGAGGTGGAACCGGCCTGATCGATCAGGCCGTAGCCGGACTATTTTGGCCACCACCACATATGTTGGTGACTGAGGAAGGGTCATGTGTAGCAGCAACCTGGAAGTTTGGATCGGACTATGGTATGGCCGGACCAATCGAAACCTGCTTCTGCCAGTCCTGCCATGGAAATCAAACACTAGAGGAGCAAGAGTACATACCCCCTAGAGTGTGCGGCTCCAGGCATGGGGTCTGCGGCGGCAGAACTTTACATCACGTGACAAACCCGTACCGTGACATCCTTTTGCACCCTGTACATGATAGATACAGGTTTGTATGCAACCCTGCTTTGGGTTCAACTCTCTTGTGGTCACTTTGCACTGTTTGCCAGCGTACCTTTTTGATCCACGTCACATGGTGTGAAGTTCTGCCATCCGCAATGTATAGAGGTTATTCAGGAAGTTGCACACTCTTGGGAGTTATGCACTCTTGATATCAGCTATTACATACCTGCCAAGTACTGAGAGTGCTTTTTCTGGATCGCCATGGCAAAATCCCGGGATTTGCCTTGGTTTTTCGGGATATGTCATATTTTTACCAAAAAAATCCTTTTTCAACTTTTGATGGCACCAACATTTCGATAATAGATGATTGATGGTGATCATCGGATCACACTTACACATGTTCAAGACTCAAAAATGGAGGTTTTTCAGAGACTGCTCATGGAAGGAGCACTAGGAGATCCACTGGTACTGCAGGCTATGGCGGTCCGGGATCAATAAGGACAATTACTGGCCTGTGACAAGTCATTTGAAGTGCTCCAAGTACAATATCAAGCTTGTTTCTTGTACAGTGAATTTCGGGATAATCGACAGGAATTTCGGGATCGCGGGAGTTCATCCAAAATTGCGGGATATTCCCGAAAAAAATCTGGATATTTGGCAGGTATGCTATTATAGCATCTGTCCACAATCTTCTTGTCGATCTTACCGCATCGTGGCACATCGCAGTACTGCCAGAATGACAGACCGCTTGCTGTGAAACACCACGGCCGCACTCGTTTAAGGTCCGGGTTGGTCTTCGGGTTGCGGCAGAAATCACCCGGGCCAGGATCTCCGGGCGAAAATGTAGGATTAGCATCTTGAGCATCCTAAAATTACACCAAAAGACGATGAAAACAACAAAAGAACACAAACAACATTATCAGATGTAGGCCAGAGTGTAGTCTACTATGTTCATGGTCACTCCAATCAGGGTCCTATTCAGGGCGTAAGGGGCGCAGTAAAAAGTAGCCTGCCCGCAGATTCTACGTATACATACCCAGCTGTCGTATAGTGTGAATTCGGCCATTATGCTGTCTCCCATACACTGCCATGCTTGTGAGCAAGCTGACCTGCCAGCACCCTACACAACGTGCGCAGGTGTACATGATTCTTGAAGCACAGTAGTGCTGCTCAATGAAATCCAATGGCGTCCAGTCAAGTTTGTGCCCCGCTCCCATTCGGCATCCCAGTGATTGAGATGCATAGTGATTATCGTGGCCATGGCATCACATATTCGTGTATAGAAGAGGCTACAGGTACCAGTGCCAGCGTGTGCATGGAGTAGCAAGCTGCCCTAGCTTGTATTGAGATTTGAATGGCAAATTTGTCTGAAGTGGCAAACGGTGTACAGTGGTTTGTATTGAGATTTGAGTGGCAAGCAAATGCTGGTGAAACTGTTTCCCCTTTGCACACAAGGCATGCACAATTGCACATGTATCTCAATTGATGACTTAATTGCATGAGACGATGTAATTAACCCATTGCGCATTGCCAAATATGGAATGTATAGGTAATGCTTGTGAGTACGCTGGGATCGGGAATGCACTGTTCAACACCCCCAGACGACCATGCCCAGGTGGCTGTGAAGTAGGCCTTTCCGGATTATGCGTTTTTTCCTGGTCTAAAATGGAAATGGAAAGTGTTTTGAAAAACCCCTATAAATCAAATTTTTTAAAGAAAATGCAAAATTTTACCCCAAAAGCACAAAAATGCCACCGTTGCCATGGTAACAAAATGGCGACAGCTAGTCGCGTGCCATTTGGCACCATGGTGATCATCAGGGAGTCGTACTCAAACTAGGGAGGTGACACGGATTTCTGTGCCGCGTCACCTCCCTAGTTTGAGTACGACTCCCTGGTGATCATTCATGGTGATCGTGAAGTATCTATTGCGTGCAAGGAGTCGTAAAATACCGGTATTTTACGACTCCCTGGCCCAAAGTGGGTCAAAATGGACAAAATGCATTTTGACCCCCAAAATGCAAAAATATGCAAACGCATAATCTGGAAAGGCCTACTGTGAAGGGTGTTTATGGTACAAATTACGTCATTGCGCAATGGGTCTATTGCATTACCCCTAGAACACACATCACTTACCTTCATGGACCATGATTGACAGGTAAGACCGAACGTAGTGTGCGATCGGTTTCCAACATACTCATAACCATCACCAGTGAAGCAGTCGATGTTTTCCAGGTACGGAAGGTCGGTGGTGGATGTGTACGGTGTGGAAGTCGTCGCTGCTGATTTGGCAGACAGTGTTGCAGCAGTGGAGTTGGTGTCGCTGAGAGTCTGTGCTCTGCATTCTAGTGCGTGAAGCATCGATCAAAGACACACGGACAAACGAAAGAACAAATACATAGACGGGTTGCACAGACAGGTTAGTATTTATTCTAGTCGGAGACAGGATAGCAATTATTGACAGAAAGTTAGAAACACCACCAATCAACAACCAATGGACACCGATTCTTTTTGACAGAAACGTTTCAAGTTTCTCCTAAATTCATCAATGACTACTTCTGGTAGACAGGCTAGTATTTGTAATGTATTTACGACATATCAAAGCATAGCCAGGCCGGCAAACAGAGACACAAAGAAGTGGGTAACCACACGTACATACTCTGTCACACCATGCACATTCATCCAGTATCCTCTAGACGTATATCGCGTGAATCAACTGTGGGGATGAAACGTGGCTGAGCTGCACCATGTACTGTGTGCTACTACTAGGCACAGGGTAGCTAATGTTGCTGCGGTACTGATCGATGCACAACGTGCAGAATCACTCACCATCGTAAAAGCAACGCCGAGGCAATAGTTTTAATAATGCGATGAATAATACTTCGAAGTATCAGTGAGACGGGATTCACCATTGCGTTCACATAGTGGCCCTGGCCACATAATGAAACAATGATTGGTGGTGGTATAATTATCCTAAGGTTGATAATTCAACTTGATATGCTACAGGTGGAGGGAGTGATAGCCACATTGATGAATGAAAGAGGCAAAAAGCCTCGCCAGGTTGTGAAGTATTTTAGGTACATGTACCGTATTATTCGGAGTATAAGCCGCACTGGAGTAAAAGCCGCACCCAGACTTTTTGTCATGAAATACAGGCACCTACCCTATGTACCATCGTTAGTGTTAGTTTGATCATCGTAGTACTGTAAACCGCCCGATATTCGCGTGACTAAAATTTCGCGATTTCTTAGAACCAGCGAGTTTGCGATGGCAAAAGTTCACGAAGCACAGGGGCTACTTATATACACCCACTGTTGAAATTATATTTCACGATGGTTAATATTCGCGTTATGCTCTTCTCGCGAAAATAGCAAACATTAATCCGTCGCGAATATTAGGCAGTTAACAGTATAAGCCTTTTCTAGTATAAGACTTTTCGGGGGTGAAATACTGGTGGTTAAAGGGGAAGTTAAGGCAAAATTTAAATTTTCACCAGTTGTAGTCTTCGGGGTGCTGAGTCGAATGGTCTTGGTCCGAGAAAGCTGAGACGCTCCCTTCCTACTTGAATCCCAATCGAACTCGCGCACTTCCACCGAAACTGGGTGACTGCGCCCTACTAGATGGGGATTTGTATGCAAAATGTCACTAAAAGCGCCATTTCGTTCTTATAAAAGCACGGATGACCGCGATTGGCCCATATGTTGTAGTCTTTCGGACGCTGAGTCGACTGGTTTTGGTCCAAAAAGGCTGCAATGCAGCGTTCCTCCTTTATTCCCAATTGAACGTGGTTGAACAAGCGGTCACGTGCTCCTGGGTGCCCAAATCACCTGGTCACCACGCCAGCAGGCGACAACTTTCACACCAAGGTTCAACTTGAGTTCAACTCGAGTGACAGGACTGCACCCAAAAAAGGTCAAACAGGCTAGTAAGTTGTACCCTGCAGGCACGGTGACCAGGTGATTGGTGTACGCAGGAGCACGTGACCGCTTGTTCAACCATGTTCGATTGGGAATAAAGGAGGAACGCTGCATCGCAGCCTTTTCGGACCAAAACCAGTCGAATCAGCGTCCAAAAGACTACAACATATGGGCCAATCGCGGTCATCCGTGCTTTTATAAGAACGAAATGGCGCTTTTAGTGACATTCTGCATACAAATCCCCATCTAGTAGGGCGCAGTCACCCAGTTTCGGTGGAAGTGCGCGAGTTCGATTGGGATTCAAGTAGGAAGGGAGCGTCTCAGCTTCCTCGGACCACGACCATTCGACTTAGCACCCCGAAGACTACAACTGGTGAAATTTTGATTTTTGCCTTAACTTCCCCTTTAAAGAGCGGTGTAATCGTGTATACTCTGGAAAATACGCTGGGCGCATGTACGTCACAAGTCGGTCCTGCCTCTGGCCCGCCAGATCGAGGTTGGTGTTGTGTGTGTGTGAGGAGAGGGGGGGGGGGGGGAGGAAGGGGAGGGAAACGACTGGCGAAACCTGTGATCACTGTCCAGAGAAGAGAGAACCCAAACCATCTGACAGACCACATAAAGAGCCCATTTCAAACAAGCAGCATGCTAGAATAATTATAACAAAGGTCTAAATCTAAAATTTGATGAGAGGGGCAAAGTCTGATGGATTGGTTTCTGCAAACAGGACTTTGTCTTGGCGATCAATGATAGTGGTAGGGTCTGATCATGCTTGCAACAGATCGACGCCACTTTAGTTACAGTTCGAATGCACTGTTGACTTTTTCAGACTATCAATGGCAGGGTTACGCGCCTAGGTCAATGCGGTGCGAGTCTGCCGCCGAGTCAGGGGTCTTTCCGCTGTGCGTGTCAATTATTTTAGTAGCAAAACATATGAATTAGAATTCTCTTACTGTTCGTCTGAATCATGGACGACAAGAACAGCATGGCGGTTACAGCGAGCAACAACTCCATTGATCTCCACCGCGAGATCATGGCCATTGCCGGTTACGCGCGCTAGTCGTTCACAGGATCGTTCGTGACTGGACTAGGATATCCGTAGGTTCTTGCTGTATTTGGCGAAGCGAGTTGCTTGTCAGCTGTAGACTGCGAACGGCGAATGTGTTCCACCAATGAATCAGTCTCAGCGTAACGCGGAAACGCCTCTTCTTTCACCTTCAAGTCCTTCGGACACACGCGGTGGACAAGGTTGCTGCGACATCGCAGTATAGTACTGAGTCCTCAACAGAACAGTTGCAACTGGTAGAAAATACGAGTGATGCAGGAAAATGGCTGGATTGAAGCCTATTGAGCAAGAACGTTATTGGTACTGTGAAACAATGCGAAAGTACTCACTAAACGTTCGGATCAGAAGAAACTCAACCGTCACCCCAGCCGTCAGTTCAAATACCATAGCATTTGGGTTTGTATTAGCGGTCATATCTTTATGTCGAGGTGTCCACTGGCGTGTCAAGCCGTCGGCTGAAACTCATTTTCTCCGAAGAAGAGGGCAATTTTGAACGTGTCGACATTGTACACGCCGTGCCCCGCTAACGCTAACAGCATCTCGATGGACGAAAATCATTGAGCGAGCTGAACCTCGTCATTTGACATGTAGACCATTTTCGTGCTGACACTTGACAGGCTCGGTATCACTGTCGCACTGGCTGTCTCAACATGATAATAATTATTATTATATGAGCACCAGGCCACGCACAATGACATTATGTTGACCGTTCTTGTTGTGCTTCGTCCGGCACTCGCGTTTTCAAAGAGTTGGTGGACAAGCCGTTGATTATTCACTCTCATTGTAATATCAAAAAGTATTCTTTCTAGACCAAAGAGTGGTATATTTGATAACATTTAATAACGATAGAAATTTTTACGATACTTCTCCAGACGTTTCGTTGTTCTGAACAACATCGTCAGTGGATAAAGAATTTTCCTTCTTTTTTAAAAAAATTGTTTTACTTCAATAACACTGCCCCACCGGTAATTAAGGGAAAACGGGAGAACATGAAAAAGACCATGGGAAGGACATCGTTACGCGGTGGGTGGCGTGCTACAGAGTACATAGCCATGTTGGTGAGTCTGGAGTGGAGGCACTTATATCAGGTCCATGTACCCCGCTGATGCCGTGGACTTGGAGGCTCTTCTTTTTTCCGTCTCATAGTCCTACTTTCTTCCTCGGTTCTGCATCCGGACAGCTATTGAAAACCCTTCTGTAGGCGTTCACCATTGTTCACTGGCCGGTGTCATCATGATCTCAGCGCTAACCACGTGAACGCCATGATTGAACGACGTGCTACTGCTACTGTGTCCGCAATGTTTCAGGTCTCCATACTGCAGAAGCAGCCCCAGCCAGGCAGCAGAGATTCATCGCCGACGCCTGGCCATGTACCCGCTCGCCTAGCATCTCACTCATTCTCAGTACGTACAAGTATTAGTCTAACATGTTGTCTCTACCAGTTTTGCCTTTTGTCGTGAAGATTTGGTCTCCGTTTCCAATGTGACTTATGTGACATAGTCACATCGGAAACGGAGACCAACACTTCCTGTCATTATCATCACAGACTCAGTCATTGTTCTCTTGCTAGTATCGATTGTGAACTACATACTTCGTGATGTGCAAAAGAACAGGACAAAGAGATTATGATTGTGAGGTATATTATTTTAAAATAGATCTACCGTTCGAAGTCTGAAGAAAATGTTGAACAATGACTACATGTATGTACAATGAGTATGTAGCATTGTAGGTCTGCTACCACACATGTGTAGTAGATCTACCAGTAGTAGTAGTAGTACTAGTATGCTCGGACCATGCTTGGTTAGATCATGATCGCTGGCCCATGAAAGTCGGAAGCCAGGTTTGTTGTGCTTGTTCGGATCGGAGGTTCAGATCATGCACCGAGATCGCGCCCGTGCTCGTAGACTACTCAGAGATCTAGTCAAAAGAACCAAGGAAAAATAGGATGGTGATTTGATTTGTCCAAACTGCGTGACCATGTTCAACATTCGGCAGACCCGGTCTGAGCGGACCAAGTAAGACTACATAGTCAGCGCCCTGCGTAGCTCCTGAGTTTGTCCCGGAAATCAAGATCCCCTCCCGAGTCCTCCTATATACACGGCCATCACGGAACTGTCCGTCGGTACGGTAAGTTGCTAAAAAGGACGACGATTCCTGAGCAAGCCAGGCTACAGTCCATTCAGAAAAAGATGGACTTCTAAGTTCTAGCTTTTGGCCATAAATGGGTCAAACGTTGAGTTTTTTTTAAGTTTTTTCTGCAATCCCCTATGGAATCCTCTTCCAATTATGTTTCTGAAGTCTATTTCTCCAAAAAGCAAGCCATAGCAAGAATAGGATTTCGGCCAGGTTTTGCCCCAAGAGCACTGAATTGGGAAAACCCATCAAAATCCAGGCCGTTTGACCTTGCCCGTAACCATGGTAACAGTGCATTGCCATTGTACGGTTCGAACCCCAGTTCAGGCACCCTTTTTGGACCCTTTTCAAATTTCAAATTTCACAGCACTGCACTGTGTACGATAAAATCTTGAAAAATCGCCTAATACGGGAGCTCGCCAGAGCCAGGGCCCATCTTTTTGTGAATGGACTGTAGTTATAAACTGTGATCTGCGATGAGGAACGTTACTGTTTTGGTGATCGCAAGCTCTCCTGTGCAGTTTCTACAAGTACAACTCTACAACTACTGCATAGTACTGGGCGGTGTGCATCGCTGGATCACGGATAGTTTCCTGCGAGAACTATTCATGCAGCGGTTTATCTGCCTTTGTGCGCTAGGACGGACGATATTGGCCTCAGTCAGTCACATGCCGGACATGATCAAATTGGCCTCCATACATGGCAGATCGCATCGTGGAGATCCCCTGTGCTCCTGGAGCCGCCAACAGTGGCTGCCATGCCGGGATTATTCCAGAGGGTGTGAGGCGGATATATGCGTGACTCCAGTTGCAGGTCTCAGGCTGCAGTAACGGCTGCAGTTGAAAATCTGCGGACTGGGCACTCCCTGGCAGCCGCGGGACCTGACCCAGTTTGCCTGAGAGGTACACGGTTTGCTCACGTCAAGCCTCACCTGTGCCGTGTGATCGCAATACTAATACAATGTGGCAGTCGCAAGTCAAACCTCTGCCACTATCATGCCAAGCTTAGTTTAGTAATAAGGTTATGAAGTGAGATCATTTCTGCATCTACTGGCCGGGAAACGTACGGGCCAGATATCAGTGGCACAAGTGTCTGGCACTGGTACCTCGAACCATCCACATTCAGGATCCGATAGCTGGAGCTCTGCTCCTTATCGATACAGTAGCTACAGTGCAGGGGCGTGCTCGGCCCCCCAACTAGGGGGTGCACGGGAGCCGAGGGGAGCCCCCCGGCAATTTTCTGCAATTTGTTTGCAACCTTTCTTGAATTTTAGAGCATATTTGCATACATTACAATTGCAATTACCCAGATTGAAATTTTTTGGGGGGTGCACGTGCCCCTCGTGCCCATCGCCGAGCACGCGCCTGCAGTGGATGTAGTTCCGCCACCCTGGGTGGACAAATGTCGGTCAGACAGTTAACTCCCCGCCATGCAGCTCTAGTGCTACTATGATTTGCAGCAGGAGATCCCCTCCACAGGCGATCGCCTCTGGCTGGGAGATCCTTCAATAAAGATTATTACGATCCAGAAACATGGCCAGTGATCCCTGACGTTGGACTCGAAGCCCTGTCCTTTCATGTCCAGACAGATCGCCGACTGCTGTGTCCGTTGACCGTCTGAAGCCAGCTCACGCCTTGCCGTAACTTCGCTCGGGTATGTTTTGTAGCGTTCTCAAGCTGTCTTACTGTATCTGCGGCACTTTCTTGTTTCACAGGTATGTCTCATTGCAACTCTAGCGTTACTGTAAGGCTGGTCGCTCGCGGCGCATGTGTTTATTTCCTTTGTAACACAGTAGTGTGTTGTACTCTATGGGGTGGGTGTGTGGGTGAGGTAATAGAGAGGTTCTGCTATACGTGAAACGTAGAGAAATCACGTAGAGAGCAGGTGTCTGGGTTAGAGTCTACGGCTTCGCGTGTTTTGGCTCCAGATTTCTACGCGGAGATGACTCAGATGAGGTTCTCTACGTTGTGGCACACGCAGAGAAAATTCGTACGGATTTGCTGGGTATCGATCAACTGCATGCAGAAAACTGCCAAATATGGAAGGGGAAATTCCCAGTACACATTCCACGTGACTTCTCTACGTGAAACGTAGAGCAGAACAGCATTTCTTTACGTTACGGGAACGCGAAGAAAGTTCGCGTGATTCTTTGCGTCGCGTTCCCAAAACGTAGAGCAGAACCTCCCTAATGATGTAGCTTCCTGTGATTTTCCCATTTTCACTTATGGGATTTCCATATATGGTGACTTTGCATAAGTGGTGACTTTAATTTTTATGCTTATAAGTTATGGATGTTTCATTATCGCATATGCACCCATCATGTCCAGGTAAGGATAGTGTACAAACATCCGTTAGTTGCGGGCTTGAAAAGGGGAAAGAAGGTTGTATTCACAAACACTTATCATTCTCGCATTTGGCTACACAATTTATATGGCACCATGTTTTTATTTGGTGGGCACACACTTGGTTCTGTACTACACGATGACTCCATGCGTACGCCTAATACAATGTTTTGCTTTCTGACCAACACATGATGGGATATCTAGTCAGTAGCTCCCTATGATCCATCCAATGCAGTTTGTCTTCCCTCACCTTTCTTTCTTTGTAATCAATATTTTCAAAGCAATATGCTCAATAGATTTACACCACTTGGTGTGTGTGTGTGTGTGTGTGTGTGTGTGTGTGTGTGTGTGTGTGTGTGTGTGTGTGTGTGTGTGTGTGTGTTTTGGAGTGATTCTAAGGTATAGAATGTACATGTACTTGTATTAATATAAGAAGAATCCCTAGACTCAGTAGCTAGACGGTGAGCTGGGAGGAGAGCTTGTGGATTTGAGTCGGCTTGAGTATACTGTACACAATGCAGGAAAGGTATGTTATGAACTTACGGCGGCATTGAACTGTTACTTGAAGGCAGCGTGCTGCACACTGACCTACGATGTATATTCTATTCACACACTAGTCTTTTAGCCTTGGCCATGGACTCGTGATGTTGACCCACTGATTGGCTTACTGACTTTTGTAGCTACACAATTTTGTACAATGGGATAGTCTTGCCTGCATATCAATATCACGATATCGCGATGTGGAGGGCGAACTGTAGATCTACAGTCAGTACCAGGGAGTAGTAAAATACAGTATTTACTACTCCCTGGTCAGTACTGAACAGTGCTCCTGTTCTACAATCATGTAGCTGACTACAAACTCGACTGCATAGTTTGGCTGCACCTCACCCCCCCCCCCCCCCCCCGAGGGGCTGAACCTGGGGTGTGACCCGGCCCCATTAATTTTGGTTCATGTGGTCGCCAGACCGGCCCAAGGCAAGGTCCTGTCAACCCATCTTTGGTTGCAGTCCGGAAGTAGTAACTCTTTCGGTGTTCCTTTGGCTTTGCATATGCATGATGATGAAGTGTGTCCTGCAGCTTGGACCGACATTTTTAGCCATTTTTCGTAACAACATCATGACCCTGCGCGTGCAATGCACGCGGTGCATGCTGTCATGCTATTTTTGTAGAATCAGATTATCTGTTTGAGTTTAGAGTTTGAGTTGAGTGCCAACCGGTATGGCTATGTTCGTATGAAAACGAAATTTCCTTACCGGTTCGACAAGAAATAGAGAGATTCGTACTCGTGGACCTATGGAGGTTGCGTAGGATACGGTACATGCGTTAGACCTCGTGACAGTCCTGCAGCTTGATCTCAATGTCGTCTTTGCTCAGTGTGAAGAAGAGGTCTGGCGAAGGCAGTGGAGATTCCAATGACGAGAAGTTTGCGCTTAGTCAACTCAGCCGAGCCTCCCCAAGCGGAGACCCGAGCGTAATGCCGGGATTTTCCAGTGACAAAGAGGATGATGAGACCAGGAATCTAGTTGAGCCGGCAATGACCAACCCTACAGCAGCCTTCCCAAGGCCTGCTTTCAAATTGTCGAATGGCATCCCTACAAGATGGCAATTGGCACTGCTGAGCATGTTTGGGTTCATGTTCCTGTATGCTCTCCGCTTCAACATCAGTCAAGCGCTTGTGGCAATGACAGGAAATGTTACTTACTGCAACGGCACACCAGCAGTAAGGCTCACACAGTTTTTTTTAAACTATTTTGCTAGGTGCTGCAGATGTTATGAATTGATGGGTTTGAAATAATTATATTGTGCCTCCAGTGTGGTTGTTGTCCCACACAATAAACTGGATGTGCGGCGATAAAATGCCTTTCTCTTGTTTCTCGCGTAGCATTGTCTATTGACCTTGAGAAATGACACAGCGGACGTAGAATCGACCAAAATTGCCTCTCTACCGTAACATTAAAAAAAAAAAAAAATTCGAAACATTTTCTGTGAAATAGCTACAGGTACGTAGCAGCAGGAGTCCATAAACAAGAGTATGCAATTGTGATCTCCTTTCTGTAGGCCAGATGCACAGCGTGCTACCTTCATTACATCATGCAGCTGCAGTCCATGCAATGAGGAAAACAAAAAATCACACTTTCGCTCTGGTTTGAAATGAACTTAGTACGGAGCTGAGGTACAGGCGCTAGGCGTCGGTACTCAAATGAGTTGAGTAAAAGTGGATGCACTAGTACGGGCGATTGTGGGTTAGAGTGCATACGTCCTCGGTGTGCCGGAGGCAAGTTACGTAATGAAGTCAGTGAGTGCGCCACGCTCGGACCTATAAACACAGTTGCATGCTCCTGCTTATGGACTGTTGGTAGCTGTAGTAGCGAATTCTGTTCCTCTGAACACCAATATGCGCCACAAGACCGTTTTATACGATCGTGCGGTCAAGGTTTCTCCGTATTTGCTAATTTCTTCTTTGCTTGAAATCACGCGCCGTATCAACACAGATGCCAAACGGTTGATCGTGTCAAGTGCAGATATTATTGAACATGCCCATCCAGACATGAAGCCTGAACGTACAGCACGTGCTGTTCCATCCTAGTGGGAATGGCCCACGTTTGAGATTGAGCAGAGGAAAAAGCACTTGAAAGTGTGTGACTGTATTATTTTGTTATTATTCTTGCTGTGTTCGCGGTCATTTCTATCTCTGCATCTGTCGGTGTGTGTGTGTGTGTGTGTGTGTGTGTGTGTGTGTGTGTGTGTGTGTGTGTGTATGTGTGTGTGTGTGTCACTGTTATTAGTTTTTGTTAGTTTTCAGTTCTCAGGGACGGCTCTGGGCTTCCAGGGTCGTCCCTGGGACAGTTCCCAGTAGAAGTCCACAGCGGAAAGTCAGCAGAGCAGATTACAGGACGAACTTCGGGTGTCGTCACTCTGACTCTGTTTTCCGCTGTTGGACCCATCGCGAGGCCTTGCAAGCCCGCGAATGGAGCCATCTACCGCACGCAGTAGGAGACGAAAGGAGTTTACCCTGAGCGTTGGGACGTGGAATGTCCGCTCGTTGCTGGAAAGTGAAGGACCCGTCCAAACAGCATCCACTCGACATCAAGTGGCTGACGACAAGAAAATTTATCGGATAATTCAAATTTTCAAACGTCTTGGATTGGAAATAGTTTGTCTTCAAGAGACCTACTGGCTGGATAAGAACGTTTACAACATCGACGGAGCAGTGCTAATTTCGTCTGGAAGACCTTCACCTGGCGAGGGAGAGTCGTGTCGAAGGGGTGAAGGTGTTGCGATTCTGTTGCTGGGAAATGCAGCTCGCGCGTGGCGTGACGGCGGTTGTCAATACGACGCCCGCAGCTCTCGGATTGTGTCAGCGCGATTGAAGTTTGATATTCATGGGTGTTCACCGGTATGGTATACTGTCATCTCCGCATATGCTCCGACGTTCGCCAGCAAGCGAATTGCCAAGGAACAGTTCTTTGCGGACTTGCAAGCGACTTTGCCACGGATGGGCACAGAAAAGTTTATTCTGTTGGGTGACTTCAACGCCAGAGTTGGATCCCGTACGCATGCTGACGCTGATGAGTGGTCACGTGTACGGGGCCCACATGGAGTGGGTGAGATGAACTCTGCAGGACGTGAGCTGTTGGATTTTCTTGCAACTATTCAGGCGATGGTGTGTAACACATGGTTCTGCAAGACAGAGGATAGGAAGTGGACCTGGCAACATCCAAGGTCAAAGAGATTTCATTGTATTGATTTTGTCATCACGTCACAAGCTGACTACCACCAATGTATTGATGCTCAAGTTATAAGAAGTGCGGAATGTGGGAGCGATCACAACCTGGTGGCTGCGCGTTTTGTAGTAGGCCGTCTGCAGCGCCGCTCGCGTTGTGTGCAAACGAAGAAATGTAAGCGGTTTGATGTTGCACGTTTGAAGGATGTCCACAGCACTGACTCATCTGGAAACATCACACGAGTTGCTGATGTCTATCGTGAATGCCTCACAAACAGTCTGCAACAGCCGAATGAACATAACACCGTTGAATGCAAATGGTCGAGGTTGCGCACCGCGGTCACCGAGTCTGCAGAGGAGACCCTCGGTTTTCAGAAACGTCGTCAACCAGATTGGTTTACTGAGAGCAAAGATACCCTCGAACCCTTGTTGAATGAAAGGAATCAGCGATATCAAGAATGGATTTCAAGTGGCAGGTCTGATGACACGTGGAACAGGTTCAA